ATTTGGGGTGACATCAGAAGCAGCCGAACCGAGAAAATAATTAAAGGTTCATAATATATTTTTTACATAACATTTAGGAACTATGTATATTAATTTTAAAAAAAACACGCGTGAGTGTCGTGGAACACTCGGTTGGAACGAAATTCCTTTCATAGTATATTATTTTTGTTAAAGGTATTATATTATTGATAAAATACAAATAAATAAATTACTAGCGTCTATTAAAATAAAGCATAATTTAAAATAAAATAATAATTCTTTCATTATTTTATATATATTTCTTTGTAAAACTTTATATTATGTCTTGCTGTCGTGCAAAAAGGTATTTAGCATTCACTACTTATTTATTTATTGCATTGGTATAAATAATAGCAGTTATTACAATCCTTTATGTGTATCAATCTATAACTAACGGTGTACTTAAAATTTATAATGGAAAAGTGCAATACTCGTAGTGGATTAAGACTATTTTATCAGAATGTAAGAGGCTTACGGACTAAGACTGACCAGTTCTATAACAATCTATTTCTATACAATATTGACATCGCTTTAATTACAGAGACATGGTTATGCGACAGTATACTTGATACGGAACTGTGTAGTTCTGACAAATACGACCTGTTCCGTCGCGACCGCGGTGCTCTCGGTGGTGGAGTGATGATCGCGTGTGCTTCTCGGCTTAGGGCGTGCAGGCGTTCTGACCTTGACCGCGACGGTCTTGAGTGCATATGTATAACAATACCGGCGCGTGCGCTTGACTTACTGCATGATTTAAATATTATATGTGCTTATATACCGCCAAACCGTGAGCTTGCATTTAACATGCAAAATTTTATACAATTACTTACTGCTGCGATTAGTTCAAAATCAGATGATTACGAGTATTTTATAGTAATTGTTGATTTTAACTTGCCTTGTATAGATTGGAAATTGAAGAAACCTATAATACTAAAAAAGGGAAATGTCGATATGCAGAATTCTGCTATCGATCTAATTAATACTACTTCGTATTTTGGTTTATCTCAATACAATTATTTATCTAACTCACATGGTAATATACTTGATTTAATTTTCTCTAATATATCACTAACTATCGTAAAATCTAAAGTACCAATAGTAAATGAAGATGTATTTCATCCGTCAGTCGATATTCATGTGAAGGATATAACAGTACCAACGATCAAACCAAAGACTAGAAAAAGAAACTTATTTAGGAAAGCTGATTATAATAAATTAAATACTTTCTTCTCTAATTACGTTTGGTCTTTTCTAAAATCTCATGATTTGGAATACATTATTGACAATTTTTACGTAACTTTAAATACCGCCATCTCTAATTTTGTGCCACAAAAAATTGTGTCGTATACTTACAACTATCCTGTTTGGTATAGTGATGCCTTAATAAAATTGATTGAAGAAAAAGCTAAGTATCACACTTACTGGAAAAAATATGGAAACCCAAATGATTACGAATCTTTTTCTATACTGCGTTCGCGATTAAAAAAAAACTTGAAAGGGAATGTTATTCGTCTTATATAAACTTTTCACAAGAAAAAATTAAAAGTACACCAAAATTGTTATGGACTTATATAAAATCCAAGAGGAAAAATATTACAGCTTATCCTCACATAATGCAATATAATAATAATCAATTGTCAAATCAAAATGATATTGCAATGCTTTTAATGAATTTTTGGTCGTAATTTTAGTCAACCGGCATTACATTATGGAAACTTTACACATAAAAATTTCCTGTGCAATGATGTTATTAGTGATATATATCTTTCTGTCACAGACATAAAAAAGCTTCTTGATAATCTCGATTGTTCTAAAGGTGCTGGATGTGATGAAATCCCTCCATATTTCTTTGTGAAGTGTGCAGAATCGCTAGCGGCTCCTATAACATTAATTTTTAATCGAAGTTATGCTGAGGGTTATTTTCCCAAGATTTGGAAAACTGGTAATGTCGTTCCGGTCCATAAAAAAGAAATCTTTTGCCATCGAAAATTACAGACCTATATCTATTCTTAATGTGTTGAGTAAACTGATGGAGGGAGTTGCTCATATACATTTGTATCCCCTGATTGTTCATCACATTCCTCCGCAACAGCATGGATTCGTTCGTGGTCGCTCAACCAGTACTAATTTATCAATTTTTTCCAGTGATGTTCTTCGAGGTATGGATGATGATTTTCAGATCGATGCCATTTATACAGATTTCGATAAGGCTTTTGATCGCGTGGATCACATTATACTTTTGCGTAAACTCCAGGGGCTGGAAATTCATGGAAATCTGCTTAGGTGGATAGAGTCCTATCTACGTAACCGATCTCAGGCTGTTATAATAGCTGGACATCGCTCTGATTTCGTTGAAGTCCCATCTGGAGTCCCACAAGGCTCGATATTGGGACCGTTACTGTATGCATCATACTAGTATGATATAGGAGACTGCTTTAAATTTTCCAAGTTCCTCATGTATGCAGATGACACTAAAGTTTACGCATATATTAAGTCTGAGGGAGATGCACACCAACTTCAAAAAGACTTGAACTAGCTTTGTTGTTACTATTATGATAACCGTATTAGTGTTAATATTTCAAAATGTTATCAAATTAGCTTCACCCGTAAAAGGCTTCAAATTAAATACCAATATAAATTAGATAACATACCTTTGGAACGCATCTACCAAACCAAAGATCTTGGTGTTGTTTTTGATTTCAAAATGCTCATGTCTGATCATGTCACGACAATGGTTGCAAAAGCGAATAAAAACTTAGGATTTGTTTTAAGAGTGTGCCGTCCATTCTCAGATTCTGTATGTATTAAAGTTCTGTATAATTCTTATGTGCGAAGTGATTTGGAGTATTGCTGTAATGTCTGCAATCCAAATTATTTGTCTTACATAGAGAATATAGAGCAAATACAATGTAAATTTATTAAGGCATTAAATTATCGCACACAACATAAAAAAATTAGTTACAAGGAATCTTGCGAACATCATAACTTATTACCGTTAAAGGACCGACGTACACTTCTACAAATTTTGTTTCTGCACGACGTCTGTAGTAATAAAATTAATAGTCCTGAATTGACATTACAATTCCTACAATTTAGCACTCCTTCGAAACGTACCAGACACACATCTCTATTTCATGTTCCGTTAAGCCGCTCAAAATATGCTCAAAATTCTGTGAGCATATTTTGAGCGGCTGTGCGGTGTGTGATTAGTCGTACTCTTAACTGTAATAACAAAAACTTTTTATCTATTGACATTTTTCATGACAGTAAAGCTAAAAAAAGAAATAATCTCAATTCTAAGAAATAAGTAGTAATAAATAATAATAATAATAAAACATCACACACAAATCACAAACATGCCACACCTCTTCACATCCTTTTCTACACTACTTACATTTAAAAATCACACACACACACACACACACACACACACACACACACACACACACACACACACACACACACACACATACATATACTTAACCTTATACTTACTAAATCAAAACACTACTAGATATACACATATGCACTGTGTTTTGTAAAATGCGTACCTTAAAATACCCATAAATATCTTCAAATATGTTGGTAATTGCTAAATGTTATTTCTATATTATATTCACACAGTTGTAACGATATGTTATAAGATTATTTTTATATGAAGTAAGAACCTGTAATTGGTAGAAAAAAATGTAAATATTTACTAACTTTATAATGCTACTAAATGCTGTTGGTTCTGTTGATAATAAAATAAAAATAAAAATTCATGGCAAGGTAAGAAAAAATACAAAGGGGATAGATATTATTCCATCTCGATTCCTTATAGCCGCCAAGGCTGTCTGCGTTAGAAGGAACCGTGAGGGAAAATCTTACACTTTTTCTCGCCTAGCCCATTTGCCAAATTCGTAACGCCTAATAAGGAACTTTGTTCCAAAACTAAAACTAATAACAATTATCATACAGTCTTACTTTTATTGTCTTATTATGTAGTCATCTCTCAGAGACTCCTATTTGCGCCACATACTCAGTTATATATTTAAATAAAATACTTATTTGGCGCACATAATAACGTACTTGTGCCATATAATGTTAGTCTAAGATACGATTTAATGTAAATGAACCGGTTGTCGTTGCACAAGAGAGTCCTGGTTATTTTTCTCGCTCATAAGCTAAGTATAGCTATTCAATTATATAATTATGTATGTAAAGTTCTTCTTGCGTTCTGAGAATTATAAGGTAAGCACCGAAAATTGCTCTAAAGAAAAGGTAACTAGGACAAACTTTGCTGTGGTAAAAAAATGTTCTCTCATACATCGTTCTAGGTGACGCTCGACGCTCCAAGTGTAAATATAAGTTTTAATCGCTAAAAATGTTTTTATGCGATACAACTACAAAAATGTGGCATTTCAGAATTTTTCCTTAACTTGTGTTGAGACCTAGGAAGTTATTTTTCTTTATTGACACGAGGAATTAATAATGATGATACTAAAATATAATTGTTTTTCCTTATTTGACTTCACAGCTATTTTTAAAAGTTATTGATGAAATTAAGCTAGTATTATTATTTGTTATTTCCTCATCCGGTCGCGACTTATTAATATGTGAAAATATATAAAGAATACAACCATAATAAAATATAATATGCTGAATATAATGCTATACATAAAATATACCGAAATAAATAACTAATCGTTTAACACTTCGTGTACTCTACGTCTACCAAAATCCGACATAAACATGTGAAGCAAATCCAAAATGTGAATTTAATAATTAAACAATATATAAATAAAAACCAACTCGGTAGAAGCCCAGGGGAGAACAATCGGCCGATGTTGGGTGTCGGGAGACAGGGTATCGAGGCTTACTGCCTCCTGAATTTGAGTCCGGAGCCTACCATCAGGGATCAATTCAAGTGACGTAAAAAAATTATCAAAGTATAAAATTGCAGGGATTTTCTGTATAGTCTTCGCCAGAGCCAGAACCACTTAAGCCCCTAAGCCAAGGCTGTTTTCATACTCGTTAAATGACACGCCCCTAAAAGTATTGTCATCACCATAGGGCAAAAAATCATATACTAGCCCCGAAACTCCTGCTCGTATAAACATTTTGAAGCCCCATTTTTTGGGTTTTTTTGGCAGATACTGCCGGCGGCTGCCTGCCCTAGTGCCCTTATAGGGTACCATCATTTCATCGATGCGGTACCTTCCTTCTTCTTTAACTAATAGGCAGGTTTGTCTTATTTTCTCGAGGATGGGACGTATTTTAAAGTAACGATCATCATTTGCATCGATATTATTCGAAAAATGGAGGTATTTTCTAATTTTTTCATACTTTTTCAGGGGCATGACATCGGCAATAGGTGCATGTCTTAACGTTTGACTCCAATAGTCCCTGTAAGATGGCATTTTCACTACTCCCATTAAAATGGTTATGCCGAGAAAGTCACGAATATCATTTTTGGATATATTTATGCCTTTCGCTTGCCCCCCTCCACATTGTACAGCATATAAATTTGTTTGATCCACTATTAGGTCTATAATATTTTGCGAAAATAAAAAGAATAAAAGTAGTCAAGAGGAGATTTAGTATCGGTAGGTATGCTGAATTGAAACAGATCTTCAACAGTTCCTGTATATTTAAATTTACCTTTTGTCCATTTGAAATTAAAAGGTTTGCGGATATATTTTTTACCTTTTTTGTTACTAATTTCGGTCTATTGATAGCTTTTGTTTTATTCGATCTTATATTTTCTGGAAGTGTACATAAAAGTGGCGAATTTAATGTCGTTAAGGTATGTAGTAACTCTGACCCCGGTCTAAATATCTCATTAATAAGTGAAGTCAATGGGACTGTATCTTCTTCGTAAGGAGATATGGGAGATTCTTGATTTTGTTGGATATTGGAGTTACCTTTATCAGATAGATCGTCCAGGATATTTAACCTTTCTAAAGAAGACTCTATTGATTTTGGCTCGGAACTAAAATCAGATAAGTCATTCGCCTCAACGTGTTCTAGTAATTTAGGAACCTGGTCTTCATCTTCTGAAGTATTGCTACTATCAGAAGGGGCGCATGCAGGAGGCACCAAAGCCATAATACGCCTAGTCCGCTTCCATTGTGGTTTTACCTTCAATAACCAAAAAAATGTATGCAAAACCCAAATAACCAAGCAAACACACTTAAAGAAATTCGCATAATTTCAAACAAACCCAAAATGCATTACATTTAAAACAATAACCATTAAAAAGATAGCTATTAAAAACCATAACTCATTACCAAAAAAAAAAACATAAAAAGCACCATATAAAACAGCATTAATGTTATTCTATGTGTCGGGCAACGTTGAGTATTCTTAACGTACCCATTTATATGTACTTTAGTCTATGTCTCGTAATGTTAAAAATACTCAACATGCATCAAACGCTTGTTATATTTCATTAGTAAATGCAGTTGGGGATGTAATAGTAAGATTAAAACAAAGGTTAGATATTTGCAAACACAATTATAGCAAAATAAATGTACAAATCTTATGACAATCGCGAAATTCAGAAATAAATTACCTTACGGTCACGCATTGCTGCTGCACCCGACGCCATTTTGCGGCTAAGTATCAAATTTTGACGTGTGACGTGTGATATACTTTTTTTTAGCTTGTCAGTTTGTTTGCCTCTCCGATTGTAAAGTGTTACCATAGAAATAATTAACAAGTTCTAACAAATAAATATTTTTATTAATAGTTGAGTATACTTACTTACTTACTTATCTTCACGCACAATCCCTGACGGGGTAGCCAGAGAGAACAGATCGCCAAATGTCACGATCCTTACATACCTCTTTCGCTTCTTTCAGATTCATTATCTTCTTCATACTTCATGCTCACATGGTCTTCGAAAGTTAGTCTCGGTCTACCTCGACACCTTTTAATATTTTTTATAACTATACTTAACATTGCGGATTAAAGGGTTAACACAAATCTATTTTCTGTTGTTTACTCATTATCCTTGGCTGAAAATTTCTATCATTTAGGTTAAGGGGAGTTAATTTTTTATCAATATCTGTAATATATTTGTGGAGTATCGAATGTTCAGTTTTTACATAAAAATATTTTAATTAATTTGTCTATTGGATTGATGTGTAAATTTTGTATGTCGATGATACCACTTCCTCCATCTTAACATAGTACGAGATGTTGTGTGCATGATATGGGGTAGTGTTTTCTGTTAGCTGCCATATGTGTATTAATTGTGCGTTGAAGTTTAGCTACATCACTCTGGGATCAATTTACTATCCAAAAGGAAAAGTTGAGGACTGGTATGAAATTTAGTCGGATGTCAGCACTAATAAAAATAATAATTAGATCCAACAAGTTATAAACATTAAACAATAAGCGATCTAATAAAAATACTCCAATACATTAAACTAAGACTGATATTCGATAGTACCGTTCTTTGCCAAACCACCAAAGTTGTATTGTAAGGGTAACCAAAAATACACAAGCCTAATCTACTACGTCCAAAAGTGAGCCAAATCGGTTCACCAAATTACATTTTTGCTTAAACTTTCTTGGTGAATCTTGGGTCAAAGCCAAAAATATTTATTTGCATGATATAATAAATCGAATAGGTGTCGAACATTAACCTACAAACAAAACTATATCTTTCTCAATCTTCCCAGGATTTTCGACTAAAGATTCGACTTGTCCGATTATCCTACGGCATATACAATACTGTCAAATGATAATGTATTTAAAAAATTTTTGGAATAAATAAATCGTTTAATAGTGACCGAAGTGATTACGGGAATAAGTTACATCCTTTGCGTAACAACTACAAATTATGTAAAATGTAAATTAGCAGGCGTGTGACCATTAATTCGGACTCAATTTAACATCGCGCTGCCAGGTACTAAATGATCCTGATTTAATTATTTTATTGTCGTCTATTTACGTACTTTTTAATTTATTTCAATATTACTCGTACATATACACAATACCGATTAAATCAGTTCATTTATACAAGTATTAAGCCTAATTAAATTTGTGAAATATTTTTTTTTTATAAGATAAGGGTGACAAACGAGCACGCAGTCCACCTGATGATATGATGCTGTGGCCCATAGACATCTACATCTATTCTCGATTACGAACCAAAATGCAGATGCATTGTCACCCGTGAGGACTAAGATGGAATGCATCGTTCGCAGTAAAAAGGGTCTCCGGTTCTCTACACTTACGAAACGAAACACAGCAACGTTAACCAGCTATTTTACGTTGGTATTATGTGAGAGCGTTATCCTTCCCCGGTCGAGCCGACCCATTCGTGCTACAAATATACCAGTAATACAGCTGCAGCATAGCTCTACCACGTAGAATTAAAATTACTATGTATTATTCTATATATCGGAAAATTTTCAGCAGGAGATCCCACTTCTGATGTCGGAGAATTATTCAACAGAGGATCACAATTTTGATCTCTGAGATAAATCAGGATAGCGTTAATTGTTAAAAATAATAAAAGTGTGAGAGCGGATGTTCAACTTGCTCTCTTGCTTACACAGTTAATCATTATCAGTAATAAGACAGCGTAACGCACTATACATCAAGTATAGTGAAATTACAGTTCGACCACACCGTAACAAGTCTCCGCCACAATCACACACCAGTGTAACGTGAGGTACGTAATTACATGATAACACCAAAATATGTAAACCAACAGCAACACTACTTATCTCAATGTAACACTGGACAGCATCTCGGCAACACCAATCCTCCTTGTCTTCACTAGAAGAATTACAACAACGAACAGAACCACGACACTATCTTAGCACTAGTAGAGTGACCACACTCGTTGAATGACTTGAGCGGAATCTCTCGTGCACGACACCTACAGTGTACTTTATACTACAGACACAAGAGGGGGTTTCTCGATATACCCTCCATTCTACCTCGACTCAACCGGGTATTTTATAGACGCTCTGACACGGCCGTCCTGACATACGACCGTCCTCGGGCGTGTATTTTCATGCATTCCTGTAACAAACACTATTTAGTCACCAATTCGTCCGCTCGTCCGCCCTGACATGAGCAGGAACATAATATTAGTTCGCGAAACGAATTGTTATATGGTGCTGCTTGTTGCACTATGGCGCCATCAATCCACGACACGACCATCGATGACTAGCATCCATCCTCGGTTGCAATGCCTGTAGACAAAAATATGCTTAGAGATTAATCTAGCTCGGCTATCCTGCCAATCGAAACAAGATCGATTCCAAATGGTACTTTACTTCTCCTAAGTCTAAGTACAATAGTCAATTGTCATAATTGACAATGCCTTGTCATTAAGGCTTCATACACAGTGCTTTCTGCACAACATGATATATTGTGAAAGGTCCGATCAACAAGTTCCAACACAGTAATTTTAACAATTTTTTACTCTTTACAATTCATAAGCAATGCATATTCAACTCGTGAAACTTTTATTGAAATCTGTGCACCAACACAGACCAGAATCGCACCAACGATTCTTTACATATCTGCCGTCACATATGCCAGAATCGCACCAACGATTCTCCACATATCTGCCGTCACATATGCTACAATACATGAGGGGCTCTGTGCACCAACACAGGCCAGAATCGCACCAACGATTCTTTACATATCTGCCGTCACATATGCCAGAATCGCACCAACGATTCCCCACATATCTGCCGTCACATATGCTACAATTCATCTGCCGCCACATATGCCAGAATCGCACCAACGTTTCCCTACATATCTGCCGCCAAATATGCACCAACACAGACAAGAATCGCACCAACGATTCTCGAAACTCTAACGCAATATGTGCTATAACACATGAAGCGCTCTGTGCACCAACACAGACAGAAATCGCACCAACGATTTCCTACAGACCCATCGCCACATGTTACTCATGAGGTGCGGTCTAAGGTTTTGAGTATGAGTATACAAGCCATTCTTCAAATTCATTCATCAAATTTGGTCTCACTACCACTGTCATCAACTATGACATCTAACTCTCGAGGAACTTGGTGATCGGGGATCTTCCTTACATGATCATGTGGGTATTTTTGGGGTACTTTTCACACTAATATGACCGCTTCCGGTTAAATTTACAATACTATTCACACTTTTTCCATTAAACATTGGCGCAACACAATCTTTGATGAGAGAGCATTTGGCACCATAATCATAATAAAATGGGTACGACTCACCAGTATTCATCAGCACACAGCTGGGATTGCTGACATAGCAAACATCAACACGTCGCTCACTGCTCGCCTCTGTGGCAGGCGTAAGGCAAACGCATGTGGCTATTAAAATAAAACCAGCACACGCCATACTTATCTGCCATGAAGCAAGCTCACATGGCCAAAACAACAGCACAAGGCGTGCCGCACTCGCACACCGATTCGTTGCGCCGCACCAGCGCCAGCGAGATGTTGCGCCGCACCACGCACTCCAAAGCATCAACGGGAACAGCAGGAGCACCTGAGGGTTCACAGGCATCGTCGAGGTTGCAGTCATCGTGATCTGCGTGAAAAACAAGTTGTTAATTATCAGGACAACATACACAGTTGCCTATTCTCTCATCCATCACACATACGAGGCCCTCAAACAGAAATACGCTCTCATACCGTGAACAATAATTGTGCACGACGCAAACATAGTAATACGTCGAACGAAATGACTTACGGATTGCTTGTGGTAACCATCGCTAGTTGAACAACCTAGGGGCGGTGGGCGGGGCCAGGAGGATGTTATGATCGTCAGGCCACGCTCACGGTTCCACAACTAGCGGTGGTTGCCCACAGCAACGCGGGAAAAGCCGTAGCAATAATATTGAGAAATATAGCTTTTATTGTTAAATAAATAATATTGTAACTATGTAATAACTCTCGCAATAAAGGCACCGAACAAATGGCGAGAGTTAACATAGATTTAGAATATAGAAATTAATTAATGCCAAATTGTAGAATAAGTATTGTGTGTAAAGTATATTACCTTGTATAGTGCAATTTAATTTCATGTATATTAAGCCCTTAGGCACGATAAATAATAAACATGTTACGGTGACGCGGCCGCGGAGCGAATGAGGCTACGCGCGCCGCGCCACGACGTTTTTTATTTATAGTACTGAGGCGGGGGGCAGGGTCCTCAGCTCAACATTGCTGGAATAACAACGTTTTAACCTTTACTATGTAGAATGACAAGCTCGTGGAAACTGTCCATGCGGTTGGAGCTAAGTTCTGCAAGACCCGCCGCAGAAGAACACAAAAACTCTCCGATCACACTCTTAATCTCATGGCTGTTAGACGGGAGATGAAGCTACATTCTTCAACAGACTTGACAGCATACAGGCATCTGAACAGACAGATCTCCAAATGCATGCGGCGGGACTTACGCAACTTCAATACAGCTCGTATTGAAGAAGCGATCGAGCGGAACCAAGGCTCCAAAGTCTTTGCCAGAGATCTGTCTGCCAGAAAGAGCCAACTGTCAAAGCTGAAGACGGAATGTGGCAGCATCGTTTCCGGGACACCTGAGGTTTTGAGTGAGATTGAGAGGTTCTATGGG